AAAAGCGAATATACAAGTGAGTAAAAACAACAAGATGAATTAAAATTAGTGTTGAGGAAATAGAACAGAAGACCAACGGAGTCCCCCAGGATGCTCAAGTTTGAAAAATATAAAAGGGGAATGACGCGTTAAAATAGAAGTGGATTGGCAGTTCAGGTATTGAGGGGAGACATCAAGTCAACCTAAGTGTATAGGGTCCATCGGATCGTCCATTGTAATGGTATCTTCTAGTGTGCTTTTAATAATTTCTCTAATGATTTGTTGCTGTTGTTTTGTTCTGCACCACTTTTCGATTGGTTCCCTGATGTTAATATGATTCCCCCGGAGTGTCGAGAATTTAGGACATTCTGCAATTAGATGTTGAACCGTTTGGCTTTTGCCGCAGTATTTGCAGCTAGATGATTTCTGAAAAAATCTCGATTGTTGTTCTCCGAACACTCCGTGGGCGGTATAGAATTGGTTTATGTAAATGTCACAATTTAAAAGTTTATCGCTGACTTTTGGAAAAAACGTGTTGGTATGTCTCCCGTTTGATTTCCCACTTTTGCTGCATTCATGACACATTTGTGTTCCTCTGCTCCCCGAAGAAGTTTATCTAGTAACCATAAATCAATACATCTCCATGCACAATTTCACTTTTGGTGGTTTTCTAGTACAGATAGCGTTGCATTACAAAATAATAATCATTGAAAATAATAATCAGGGTTGACTATAACAATCATCCTGATTGTTCTAGTCAACCCTTCATAAATGTATGATACCATGCATCTACAAATAAATAAAAATATCTTTTTTTTCAAGGCAAACTACAGTGAAATATACAAAGAGGAGTTGGGTGTCAACTTAAATACATTTGACAGCAAAAGAAAGGAACAATACGAGAAAAATTTGATGTATGTTAAAAAGTGGAATGAAGAATATGAGCGTAGTCTACATAATTTTAAGCTGGGTGTGAATTTTATGTCTGCAATGGTAAGTACACAGTAACTTCAGTTTGTTTACAGAAATGAATTCATTTATTGAAGCATAGAACTATTTGACCAAACAATCTAAAACTGTTTGTAAACTTCGTAACTATTAGTTACAAAGCTCGTCGACAGGTGGCACAGCTAACTGATAAAACTATGAAACAATGTTTTCCTTTAAATATTCAAAATTTACACATAATGGTGTCAAAGAACAAAATTAAAACACGTCTTTACGAATTTTGTAACAAAATTTGTTTGGATTAAAAATTTTCTGTTTTCCTAAGAATGTCATAGGAAAATGTTCATTTCTCGTTTTCCATTTTTCTTTGAGGTCAAATTTTCAGTCATTTTTGGAACTCTAGATATAGTGGCGTTCTCACACATAATGAGAAAAGTTCTAAAAAAGAACTTGCTTGAACGCAAAGTTACAAATGAATTTATGTATATCTTCAGATGGTTAAGGACAAACATATGATTAAAGGTTAATCTTTTGGAAGTTTTAGAAAAAAATAGTTAATTATCGACACTGTCCGAATTATAAAAAGAAACTGATCTGAATTTTTGATTGAATGATCGGATTTTTGCCTACAAGGAACCAATCTCAGTAGTTAGAAAGTTTAGCCTAAATCATGCTAGTAAATTAGCATTGACAATATTTTGAGTTCAGTTGAGTAATGTTGGATATAATTGACATTATCTTTCGATAAACGAAATTTATAACTGTGTGCAAAAATTTCTCCATTAGCTTAAAACGTTCTCGAGATATGTCAAAATACGCAACAAATAAAATAAACATTAAGAGGTGAAAACTTTGGATCACTCTCTTGATCAAACTATGGATTTTCCAGATTGTGGCAACCCGTATCCATAGAAAAAAATGTTTGTTTATTCAAAGAAAGTATGATCTTGTGTTTGATTTTGTAGCTTAAAATATCGTCTGCACTCATTCATTAGCATATTTGAAGTGACCCTCTCGAACATTTAAGATTCAGTCCTAGAAAGCAAAAATTTGATCATAAGATCAAAAGTTATTCAGAGTGGTCCGTTTTTTTTTTCGCATTGTATATGGTGGCGCGATATTTGAATACATTAAGAAAGCGCTCTAGAGGAAAAAAATTTTTTCTTGAGGTTTAAAACGAGATTTTTGCCCATTTCAGTACTTTTCAAGACAAAGAAATTTTGATTTTATAATGGACGGTAATGATACGGATAGTATTTGTTGCTTGGATTTTCTAATTACTCATAAATGTTTTCTTCATTTTTCTGGAAAACTTAAAGAAAGTACAGCTTCCGGTGAATCGGAGTAAAAGTAAGTAGTCAATCGTGACTTGCATTTGACAATTAGTAGAAGTATTATATTCTAAAAATGAAAATATCACATGAAGTCAACAACACAATTCTCAACATTTTCGTTTTAAAAATTAAAGGTTACCGTAACCATTTAAAATGGTTACGGTAACCTTTACCAAATTATTAGACCTAACTATAAGATTGTATCCCTGACCAAATTATTAGACTAACTATAACATTTTATGTAAAATTTTAATTGTAAGGGTATACTAAACAGCTTTATTGCTTTTGTGCGATTGAAACAGGCTTGCTCGTTCGTGTATCAATTCATTAAATTAGTCGATATATTATATAAATATGGAATAATTATTATATAAATATAGAATAATTATTATATCAGTTATTTTATATTATAATAATTAGACCAAATTATTAGACACACTGTAGGGTTTTAAAAATGACATGTTTGTACAAGTTTATATCCAATACTTTTATATTTGAACGTGCATGTAGTGGTCTTTTATTCAGTAATTTTTTTTATATACTTCTATTAGATTTATTTTTAGCATGTTACATTACAATGTTAACCAATTGATGCACGAACATAAGCAAGTGTAAACTGGTTTCAGCAGCGAAAAAACTATACAGCTGTATAATATCAACTGATAATTAAAATTTTACATAGAATCTTAAAGTGCCTCTAATAATTTACCTAGGGACAGTAGGTGTAAAATTTAAAAATAAAGAAAAACGTGATTTTTAGATTTAGATTTCTTAATATTTTTACCCAATTACATTCATAAATAATTTGCTCTGCTTTTTTTTTACAGACTGAAGAAGAACAGGGTGCCCATCAGATGCTGAGAATACCAGATTTACATAGTTATAATACAGATGACAGCCATTCCGTATTTAAGTATGTAAATCGAGGCAATGGAGAAATCGATGATTTATATAAAGAAGTAATAAAAATTACTACAGACGGAGATGAAATAACGGAGGAAGCTATTGAAGTCGACGTAAATGATTACCAAAACAATTCTGTTAGACTAAAAGACTGGGGAGATTTTGATTGGAGGGACTTTGGTATTATATCGCCTGTTCGATACCAGGTAAGAAGATCAAAGTTTTCTGAAAAATCTAATATAGAAGCTATATGATTTATGTAACAGGTGACTGATGCACGTTAAATCTGTCGAGTTTCAAGTCCTCCATGTTCCCATAACAAATCAATACCTCTGGGGGTACTGAATTGGAGAGATTGATAAATCTTTGATTCAGGTCAAAATTACGATCTGTGGATGAAGGAATGGATGTATGAATGGGTCCACCCTATAAGCAGGTGTGTGACGTATGAGTGTGGCAGAAGTCGAATTCTTGGCCATAGATGGCGCCACTGGAAAACAAGAACAATTTCACCCCCTCTGCCTTAATGGCATACGTCAATAACAACATATGATTTAGGTAATCTGTAGAGGACAGCGTATTCTTTCCTTGACTTCCTAAAATATATATTTTAGAACCTTTTTAAAATATGTGAGTGAGTATAGAGTGCACAATTTAGGGCTCGCAAACTAATATTAAAGTCATTGACTGAAACGAATAGGAAGGTATGAATGAAAATATCAATTGCGTAGTAATTAGGGGGGTATAGCAAGTGATCGGCACTGGCTGATGAAGCCCTCTAGTTTTGCATAATTATGTTTGCGTCTAAAGCGAATTCATTGGTTTTTTTAAGTATCAAAAATGCTTTTACTTAGGCTATTTTATTTTATAACCGATGTTGAACAGCCGACCCAATTTTCGGGTTTACGACTACTAATGTTCAACTCCGTAGCCTCGTAATTTTGAACCCAATCCAGAAGACAAGGGAATTCTTGGATCAGTTCCCTCAGAGGTATGATTTGTTTTGGGAACACAGAGGACTTTGCGGCTCGACAAATGTAACGTGCATCAGTTGCCCTTTACTACACCGGGAGTCTTCGGCCGGCGGGGATCGAATTCACGACCGCTTGAACTTGAGCCCATTGCCCTACACACCAGGCTATCCGACCCTAAACCTGATCGATTTCCTGATAAAATGGGAAGGCGTTTCTAATGATTGTTTTCCTATTCCTCTGCTTTTTTTTCCTGGGAAAACACAGAAACCGATCTCTGCGCAAGTAATTCGTCAGATTTCGATAGCAATTGGTGTTTTTCAGCATAAATATTAATTAGCGCAGCCAAATGTGAAAATGTTTTGTAAGAATTATAAAAATTTATTCTAAATTTGAGAAATACAGGTAAATGTGTGAAAGACTATTTAAATTACTCACTACGGTTTTTCATGGCCACGAACTTCATGGTATCAAATTATGTGTTTAATATTCTTATTGGATTTCGAACTGTCGTTTCCCCCGATATTTCCTAAAATTTTGGACAAAAATGTGTTTTTCATCCAAATAATTTTATATAATAAAATGAGTAAATGCATTTTTTTAATTGAATTATTTATATTTTTAGGGATCATGTGGATCATGTTACGCATTTTCAGCTCTCAACGCTATAGAAGCAGGCTATGCACTTAGAAAAGGGAAACTAGAAGAACTTAGTGTGCAAATGGTAGTTGATTGTTCAAAAAGAAGTAATCAATTTTTATACTTTCTGTATTTAATTTTAAAAGTATTAATTATATAGTACTAATCAATGAATAAATTCATACACTGGTTATCATGAATCAAGAAAAATTACAAAAATAGCGGTAACTCTCCCAAAAATAATGCAATTCCAATATAATTCGGATATGTTGTCCAATAAGAGTTGCTAAGTAAAACTGAAATATGTAAATTAGTGGCACTGCAGGGGAATGACGTCAAAAGGACTAAGCATAAAATTGTACATTTGATCGCAATCTTGCGAATCTTAATGTGTTTTTAAAATTAGAAATTTGAGGTCACCAATTTGTAACAATAACCTGCAGGTATCATTTGTCCAAAGAACTTCGATGGAGATCTATTCGAAGACTAGACGCAGGACAAATTGTGATAGGAATTGTCAAATGGTTAAATGTGCGTCCTTATGTGTTTCATAAGCGCTAGCAACAATTTCTAACCACAGGTTCGGGAGACGGAAGGTTCAGCCAAAGATGACCAATAATTCGATGAGTGCAGATGACCGATATTTATCAAAGGGATAGAATGTCATATCCGAGTCAGGTCAGATACTCTCGTAATGCAACTAACGATGGATTGGTGTGAACGCATATAGAGTGTAGAAGGCTTCACGAGCTTAGTTTGTTCCCTTGAAGACCAGCTATTTGTGTGCCACTCTCGTCACGCCATAACATAAAACGTTCAAGGTGGGCACAGCAACATGTCCACTGGACGGCGGAGAAAAGGCGGGCTGTTCTCTTCACAAATTTTCAGATGAATCTAGGTTTATCCTCCACAGTGACAGTAGGTGTTTGATTGGGGGAAAACCTGGAACCCGATATAATCCATCAAACATCCGTGAAAGAGATGTATACCAAGCAGGCAGTGTCTGAGTGTGGGGTGGGAACGAATAGACCTGCATGTTTTTCCACTTGGAACACGTGTTTAGAGATGACATCCTTGATGTTTATGAGCGTCCTTATGCTCGTGCAATAGGGGAAGATCTCGTGCTACAGGACCATAAGGAAATACTGTACAGAGCTCGCATCGAGAATGATTATCTTCAGCAGCAAACAATTCAGCGGATGGAGTAGCCAGCTCAAAATGACTCCTATCAAGAATATTTAAGTTGTCTTAGGAAGATGTGTATTTGCTCTCAATCCTCCTCCTCAAACCCTTGCCTCGCTTACAACAGCTTTGCAGGAACAATGGCTCGCACTTCCAACGGAAACTGGTAAACCACAAACTGGAAAGCATTGTACATCGCTGTATGATTTGTGTTGCTGCTAGAAGTGATTATACTCCATATTGAAGGCACCCTCTTTATTCCAAATAGACACATCTGATTTATTCAATTAATAAACACGCTACTTTCTGTAATTGTCTAGTCTAGTTCATACTTTTTACTCTATTTTATACGTTATTATGTGCACTATAATATGTGTCAATTCCATTCAATTCTTTGCGTAACCTTTTAAGTTATCAAATAATCATTGTATCATATAATAAGTTATCATATAATCATTTTTTGTGATTTTTTCCTAAATTTATGATAATAATGGCAGTCTCAGCTGATGTCAGATAAACAAAAATTCTAAAAGTTTTTGTTTTTAATGAAAAAGAAACTTTTTTGAAAAGACTCTTTTGAAGACAAGTTAAATTAAGTTTTAAAGTTAACTGGAACTTACGGTATAAATTTCAATAGCTTTTTTTTAAAGATGAATAAATTTTTCTTTACTTTAAATAATTTTGGCAATATAGAAATGAGTGAGATTAATCCTTGCCCAAGCCAAAATACATATAACAAAAAAAGAAGAAAATAAGTACATCATTCTAATATACTTTCTAACCAAGTCAGTGTATTTCGGCCAATTAGCTGGGAGTTCCTGGATAACTTTGGTCAAACGTTCTATGGGAGTGTTAACGCATCACCGACAGACAACTGCATGTCATTCCAACTGCATGTCATGCATATACAAGCATGGCAACGAGCATGTCCAGTTTCCTTCTGCATCTTGTTGAATATTATGAGCCTACTTGCTACAGTTGAACCTGACTAACTTTCTAAATCTCAGTTTGACTGTGGTTTCTACTTTATTTGCTGAATTTTGCCAGCCAGCGGTGATTTGTACGGCTTTAGAATGCTTTGATTCCGTACACCGATACCATGCGTTAACTGACGATATCCATGGTGTCATGTAATGTCTCAACTCTGTGACACCGTTTATGTTGTACAACAATGATGTTCACACATTGAATGAAAGTTGTGAAAATGATAAGCGACTGCAGTCTGAGACATTTGTGCATTTCACGTGCCTTACTCCTTCCTTCTCCTACCTCAGTTCTATTGTTTTTCCCTGTCACTCCTCCTACCACCTATTCTATACTTTGTCTCGGTCACTCCTCCTACCACCTATTTTATTGATTTTCTCGGTCACTCCTCCTATCACCTATTCTATAGTTTTTCTCGGTCACTCCTCCAACCACCTATTTTATTGTTTTTCTCGGTCACTCCTCCTATCACCTATTCTATAGTTTTTCTCGGTCACTCCTCCTACTACATATTCTACAGTTTTTCTCGGTCACGCCTCCTGCCACCTATTCTATAGTTTTTCTCGGTCACTCCTCCTTTCACCTTTTCTAGAGTTTTTCTCGGTCACTCCTCTTACGACCTATTCTATTGTTTTTCTCGGTCACTCCTCCTTTCACCTTTTCTAGAGTTTTTTCGGTCACTCCTCCTACCACCTATTCTATTGTTTTTCTCGGTCACTCCTCCTATCACCTATTATATTGTTTTTCTCGGTCACTCCTCCTACCACCTATTCTATTGTTTTTCTCGGTCACATAGTGCATAGTTCCGTTGAGTCAATCATTTCTGTACAATAACAGTGACGCATTGATGATTGCTAAAATGATATATATATATATGTATATTTTTATTTTTATTTATAGAAGAGGAATGGGACACTCGTGGAAATTTTGGTTGCCTTGGAGGTTACATAAATAACACTTTACATTGGGTGATGAAGAATGGTGGCGTTGCATTGGACGAAGATTATCCTTACTCTAAAAGGGTATTATATTTACAATGAAGTATTATGGGGTTCGGAAAGTAATGCCATTTTGGCGTATTAAATACTCGTTAATCTTGAAAACCAATTTATTTTTTTAATTCCATTTCGATTCACTTTCGATCCGGCATTAAAAGGTTGTTGCTAAAGAAGGTGAATACATTATTGATTAAAAATAAAATCTTGATAACAAATATCAAATGTATCTAAATGACAATACTTTCCGGTCCCCCTAATGATTAGAAATTTCTGACGAAAGTTGTGACTTAAAGTCTTGAAATTCAATATAATAATTAGAAACGTTGTGATTAATAGGTATTGGTGAGCGACAACGAACTAAGTTAATAATGTTTCATGTTAACTCTAATATTTCTCACTAGTTAAGAATTGTTTCTCTTTACATTACAAATTAGACAGATGGTAAAGAAAATAAACTGAATTAACGAAAACTGAATGACAAACAATTTCAAATATAAATATTTGAATTACAATAAAACCTCGATTATTCAAAGTAATTGGGTCCAGACTTACATCGGGAAATCGAAATAATTGGATAATGAGTGTAATGCTAATCTCTCAATATACAAATTCGGATGAAATAATCGCAGTTCTACTATATTTCAGTTATGTGTTTTTGAAAAGAAAAAAAAACTGAAAAGATACAGATTAAACCATCAAATGCACGTTTACTGAACTAAAAAAATTTTGGGAAACTTCATCAAGCATTGAGATTTTCATGAAATTTTTTGTTCTTAAAAATTAAAATTCCACCGAAAATTATGTTCAAATACTCAAAATTAGAGTTCAAAATATTTTTTCCACAATTTTTTTCTTATTTGAGGCTAATAGAAACCTTCATTTTAAGATCATATTTGAAATTATGATTTAATGAGCTTACATTACACATGAAAATATTTCAGAACGCTTGTTAATTTTCTAGACGAGAAGGTGTAAGAAGAGAAAAAAATTAGTCTCACCTATAGATGGTTATATGGTGCTCCCAAGAGACAATCAAAAGGTTCTGAAACTTATGGTTGATACGATGGGTCCAGTGGCTGTAACTATTCATGCATCTCAACCATCCTTTCAATACTTTGAGTAAGTAAAATACCTAAGCCATTGTACAAAAACGAAACGTTTCTTAACTGCAATTATTTCTAATAGTTGTAGAAAAGCAATATTGTGACTGAAAGTAAAAAGTGTAACCTGGTAATAACTTTAATCTATTACCTATTTATTATTCTTGTACTCTGCTACCATCCCATATTTTTAACCCATATCGTAGTCGTAGCAGCTATGGATATATATATATATATAT